TAATCCAGTTATGAGGGCCATAACTGTGAGTGATGGGGCCCCTTGATTCTAAACTTCATACCAAAGACAATGCCTTTAGTAATACAGAAAACTATTTGTTAGCATACTAAACGCATAGAACACTGATGCTCAATCTACAGCTTGAGTACTGCATAGGGTCCTTTGATGCTTGCCAACCTTTTGAACCGTAGCAGTCATTAGTGATAGTGGGATTATTGATGTGTTAAGGGGCTGTAACAGCAATGATTTGTAGTGGTCTCATGTAACATGCCCACACACAATCTTTAATGCTGGACACACACTAGAAGTTTTTTTTTCATTCAACCCAGCTTGTGAGAGATCACCGTACTAACACAAATGATGTTGGTGTGGCAATTTCCCCGCTGTGCTATTGTATTCTGACTGCCCCCCCTTACCCACCCACCAACTCTCCCCCCGTCCCCCGCCAGGGTACATTGATCAGCGCTGGCTGCCATTGACTTCAAGCTCAGGTCAGATGCTGGTTTTCTGGCATGCCCGTTCGACAGAAGCCAGTCGCGAGACCAGCTTCTGTAGAACAGACAGCTGTACACAGGGGCCAAAAGTCCTGTTGAACACACCGATGTTGGTCCATGTATACAAGGCCTAACTATCACTTATAGCTTTTCTCCAGTCTCCAAGCTTGTCTGCAATCTCTGACCATCTCCAGTAGTATGTCTGCAGTCTCTGACAGTCTTTGGTAGCATTATATATACTGTATATTGGGTATGGCCCCTTGGTGACACCAAGGACCGCAGTTCAGTCCCTGTATACCTTGTAAGTTGAAAATTACACTTTATATACTTTCGTTTCATCTAAAGCTGGCCATAGATGAATCAAAATTTGGCCAGTTCAGCAGGAACCTTCTGCATTTTTGATCAGTGAGTGGCATCCCTTTTCATCAGAAGGCAATTGTTAGATCAATTTCTGTCAAAGGGACACGTTTGAAACCTTTTTTCAGTCAGTGGCTACAGCCACTGGTCACTGTAGTCTGACAATGCTGAGTCCCACTGTCAGAATACCATGTCCCGATAGAGGGGATTCCTCCATCCACCTCGCTTGCATGCATAGAGGAATATGTTAGCTTTTTTCGTTCAGCCCTCTGGCTGAATGAACAAAAAAAAAATCATCTATGGCCAGCTTAAATATATTTTAAAATGCTAGTGGAATAAACAACTGTATGGATAAAAACATCTCTTTTCCCCTTGCTATGGTTATGCCCTTGCCAGTTATGTATTTATCAAACAAAAACAATTAGATGCATGTCTACATCCATCTAGCACAAATTCCTAAATCTGTCCTAACTTCAGGCTCCTGTAACCCTGTTCAAAGCACTACTCACACTTGCAGAGAAAGGTTCAGCATTCTGATCCAGTCAGTGCTCCGTTGTTTGGATTGGTGCTGTGTCAAAACTGAACTTGTTCACAAAAGGGAGAACTCAGAAATGACCACATCAATGTTTTTCTGTATTGTAATTTCCAATCAGAGGCCTGGGTGGGCCTAGAACAGGGTATAATGCTTAGCAGCAGTATATTCTGCACAGTTGTTTAAGACCTGACTTTATTGTCTGGCAGGGAGAAGCAGGTAAAAAAAGATTCCATATACAGTACATATTTTGCGTATTTAGTTGTTTTCCTGGAGTTTGGCTTTTATATTCTGTGTGTCACAGGCCGGTATTACTGCAGTCACTTGTGAAAATATGTACATTGCACCCAGAGCAGTCAATCAGTGTTTACCGACCTAGGCTACACAGTATGTAAAATAAAATACATTAGTGCAATATTATAAAAATGAAGGGACATAATGTTATGATTAACTGTTGGTTAATACAGCAGAGATGGCTAGGATGAAATATAAAATTACTTAGCTGGTGCGAAAGAAGGTGTTTGCTAATTAAGAGCAAATAGGTTAGACATAAATGAGCTAGGTGGAAAATTAAATCTAAGTATCCAAGCAGTACCAGCAGTGAGAAAAAGTAGGCTTATAAACAGTCCATTCTGTTTGTTCTGGTTATAAAATGAGCTGTTCTCTGGGGCATGGCTGCATTAGTTGGTTATCCCTACATTGGAGGCTCATTACTATGCTGGCTTGTGATGGCTGCATAAATTGGCTAGTTGAGCCTGGCTTGGGTTCTGATTATGAAGAGGAGTATAAACAATTACAGTGATTATCGATAATGAGGACAGCTCCATATTGAGCTCTTACGGAGGTATTTATTGATGTTGTTGGGTACATACACGCATGTCTTGAAATGGGGTAGCTTGATCTGGTGATTACAATAGAAAAGATCCTGCTCTTTTTTTATTCCTTTCTTTAACAGTTTCACCCCCATTCCTGCACCAGTGCTTCACCCCATCCTCCCCCACCCTATATTAAACCCCCTCCTCTGCTACCCTGTAGAATGAAACTCTTTTAGTTAATAATTTCCATACTCATTAACATGCTAATGTGCTCAGGCTCACAGCTCTTTAATCACCTCAACATCAGACTCTGTGGGGAGCAGAATTATAAGGACTCCAGGGAGGGGGAGGAGGAGAGAGACCAGCGGAGTAGCATTTAACCCCTATCTTGCCATATTCCGCTGAGTAAATTATTTCTAGCAAGAGACCGGATTGGACAGCTTCTTTAATTCATGCAGAATACACAGGCAAGCATTTTTTTTTTGTTGATTGCATATACAGTTCTATGCCAATTACATTTGTATCTTTTTAACCAATGCATACCAAGGATGTGTAATTTTATATGTTTAACTCTTTTTTTTTATTTGAAAGATGAATAGAACAAAGCATAATCCTTTTTAGATGAAAGGCATAAAAATGCATTGATCAGATCCCTTTCACCAGGGAGAATGTGGAAACCAAAAAACAAAAGCAAGAATGATTAACTTTACAAATCAGAGACCTAGTAATTATCACATTATTAGCCACATGGATCTGTCTGTTTATATTTTCTAATAATTTTATTCTTTTTACACAGGGCTGTGTCTGAGATGAGTCTTGCATATCCATTGTGGAGCTATGGATGCTGGTGAATGCTTCCTCCCTTCTTCTGGGCAGGATGAAAGAAACCCTTGGCCTCTGGACCTCAATTTACCCCTCTGCCCAACAACCACCAAAGATACCCCTCTCCTGCCTCCTAACCCTTCACCAGAATTCTCCTCCTCTTCCACTTCTGTTGCTGGAGGGGGTTATGGGGCTGTTAGCCCAACATCCTCCATGTTGCAGATGCCCCTCTTGACTCCCAGTTCTCCACACCCAACTTATCTGCCAAAGCACTCATCTCCTTTACAGCTAGACTGCAAGGAGGAAACTGAGGATGGAGGAGAAGCACTGGTGGGGCATGTGCTGTTTTCCAGTGATGGAACTGTCTACCTCCTGAAAGGCGAGGAAGGAGAAGATGGTGCTCTTCCTTCCCCTTCTTTACCACAGGACTCCCCAAAAAGCACAGTGACGACCCATCCTCCGCTCACCTCTTTTCGTCTCACCGCCACCTACCAAGGCTTTTGCTCTAACCAAATATCCCGACATACCTCAGCCGAGGCAGCCAATCTCACTCAAACGGCGCCTGGCACCTCGCCCAGAACACAAGACCAATCCAAAGAACAGGAGGCAGGGGGGCAACAAGAGGAAGAAGATATAAAATATGAAACAGATGGAGAGTCTACCAAGCTACAAAGGGTAGATGGAACATGGATTTGTCTCCCATGCCGCCTCAACTTTCATACTGGAATCCAGTTGGGATGGCATGCTTCTCGCTTTCATGGCTTGGAGCACCCTTATCAAGATCAGCTAGCATCAGGGGAAACCTCTGGTATCATACATAGATCTGGTGGGCAGATTTTTATCAGCCTTTTAGAACCAAAAAGAAGTCAAAATGTGTTAGATGCTGGCCAGGAGCCAGAGAATGTTGTCCTTTCTAGGGTCCAAACCACCCCATCTTTAGATGTAATCCAAAGCATGCCTGAGCAGTCAGGGATATCAGAGGATTTAATGTCAAATACAAAGCCCAGTGATACCAAAAGTCAAGGGACTTTTCAAGGGAATCCAGAAGGAAACCCCAAGCTTTCTATGGGCCTGGTGCCCAACTCACCTTTAAGCTATCACAAATGTGATCCCACAGGAACTCCCCACTCAACTGAAGCCAAAGATTCAAAGGCCCTTGTAGATGAAAAGACTGGAGTAGCAAACTGGTGCTCAGCAGTAACAGAGGCAATGGGGGAAGATGCTGAAGATGAAGTAGAAGATGTGGCAGAAGGCAGCCTACCTGTCTCCCAGCCCTTGGATATCAATGAGCAGCTACTCGCAAACCAAAGCTTTTATGGCCCAATGATGACAAATTCTTTTATTCAAATGGGAGCTCTCCATGGCACTGACAAAGTCGGTAACCAAACAGATGCTGATCGTGGGCCTCTGGCCCTTGATGAATGCACACCAACCTCAGGCCCCCAACCATTCCAAAGTCTCTCTCTGCAAGGCCAGCTTTCTCTACTACACTCACGGAATTCATGTAAAACTCTAAAATGTCCTAAATGCAACTGGCATTACAAATACCAACAAACATTGGATGTTCATATGAAGGAAAAGCATCCAGAAAGTCATAGCCACTGTTCTTATTGCCACAGCGGCCAGCAGCACCCACGACTGGCCCGAGGTGAGAGTTACAACTGTGGCTATAAGCCATATCGCTGTGAAGCTTGCAACTATTCCACAACCACCAAGGGAAATCTTACTATACACATGCAGTCTGACAAACACTTGGCCAACCTCCAAGGATACCAAGGATCAGGTTCCACACCCACCGCAGCAGTAGCTCCTTTAGCAGCACAAACAGTGAATGCTGGACAGGGAGATCCTAACCAAACATCACCCACTGATCGTCAGCTAAAACAAAAAGCATCATGGCACTGTAAGGTGTGCAACTATGAAACTAACATTTCCCGCAATTTACGCATTCACATGACCAGTGAAAAGCACATGCAAAATGTCCTGCTTCTTCACCAGGGGCTAGGCATGAGCCAAGACAACTTCCCATTTTATGGAGGTCCACTTGCTCCTGAACAGACAATGGAACACCCTCTACTTTTTAATACATCACATGCACTTCAGCTCATCTAGTAGTCAAGGTGAGGGGTGAAACAGTGTTTTTAAAGACAATTCTTGATAATAGAAACACTGTATTTTAAGAAAAAAAAATTGTTTTTGTTTATTCAAGGAAATGTATTATTTAAAGCCTAAGTACAGCCAAAATAAAAACCACAAAAATCAGCACAGGGGATATAACTTACAGTCAGTAGGATGTGTCCCTTGTGTTGATGTCTGTTCTTTATTAAAACTGGGGGAGCTGCCACAGGCTCTCATCAAGAGTTCCCAACTATGCCTGCTCTTTCCGCCCCAGCTCCTCCATTCATACAAGTTAGTACTGCTGCTTCTATGAATGAAACAGAATGTGTGAACGAAGAATGGGCAGAAGATAGAAAGGTCCGCCCCCTCCTATCATAGATCACAGGTCATTCATAGAAGCTGTAGTATGGCTTCTGTAAAGGGAGCAGCTGGGTGGAAGGGCAAGCATAGTCGGGCACTCTAGATTAGAGCCTGTGACAACCTCATAGTTCTATTACCTCCCCAGCTGAAAAATTACGCCAGTGGGATCAGCATAAATGCCAGAAGATTTTGTCTAAAAACAAATCACAAGGGACGCATCCTACTGACTGTAAATTATGTCACTTGTGCTGATGTTTCTGTTCTTTTATTTTGGTTGCATGTAGGCTTTAATTTATATTTCAACCAAAGCTAGGATCTTTGTTTCTATTGAGAGTGACCAGGACGTGGTATATGCCGTATTTATTTTCTACCATCTCTGTTACTGCTGCTGTGCCTGTCAGTGTGTAAGTTGATTCCCCCATGAACAGCTGACACAACTATGACATAACCTTGACATGGCTGCATAAATAAGGGTAGAAGATCACAAAGGAAAAAAACACATAATTTGATCCTCAAAAACAGTCTGTAGGCATATAAAATGTTTATAATGTTTATTGTAGTTCTAATTTATCTCTTTAATTCCTGGAAACATTCTATCCATGTTTTACTTATTGCATCCCTGCATAAAGCTTTAAAGAAAGTGGGTTACAACTGAACTCAGTTAATTTACTAAAGGAGTAAAGGCTGTACAATTGCAAAGTGAACTCTGGTCATTAAAATTATTTACCATCAATCAATTCTCATTTTGAAAACCCACTTAGGCGTGAGAGAAATTAAATTTTTTTTTCCTAGCACGTGATTGGGTAATCCAAGTGAACACAGGCTCATCTTATTTGTTAATATTAATTTTACAAATGCAACATACCCTCCACAAAGTGAACATTCACTTTCCCAAGTAAACAGCTTCTACTCCTACTCCTCCTACTTAGTAAATTAAATCTATCTATCTATCTATCTATCTATCTATCTATCTATCTATCTATCTATCTATCTCTATCTGTAAAAGCTACACTTTTCCAAATACTCTCTTTAAATAATGTTTATGAAAAAGTTGTTGCTCAATGCCTAATATTTTATTTTTCATTTATCTTGGCAGCTTGCAGTCTCCTTCCACCAGATTCTCCTTCAGGACCCCAGGTCAATGCTTTAAATACCTCTGGTTTGGCCCTCCCTGCACCGCCTCCCCTGCCAGAGTCATCACCTTCATTCCCTGAGGAAGAGCTATCCTCTGGGGTGTTCCGCTGCTTGGTGTGTCGCTGCTATACCACAGACAGCTTGGAGGGCTCTACTCTCTCATGCCAGTAGGGGCCGGTCTCTACCGGAGAGAGAGTGGAGGGAAGTGAGAGGAGACCTACACTGCTGTCGCCTCTGCTCCTATAGTACCCAGCTTAAAGCCAATTTTCAGCTGCATCTGAAGACTGATAAACATGCCCAGAAATATCAGCTGGCTGCCCATATGCGAGAAGGTGGTGCAGCGCTGGCCACTGCACAAGCATCAGCAGCAGAACTTCCTATCAGTGGGTACAGCCAGGCATCTTCATTCCCTCCTTTGCACCTACGATGTAACCTGTGTGGATATGAGAGTAACAGCAGAGAGAAGATACAGCTCCATGTTCAGGGAGGGGGACATGAAGAGAGTCTCCGTGTGTATAAGGTGACTTTATTTTATGGGATAAATCTGGTGGTAACAATTTATTGCCCGCTGTGTCATTGTTGGGGAGATTTGCCTTACTTTCTGTCTCTCTCCAACAGGGATACAGAAAACACCAAAAATACATTTTTAGTAGAACGGGGAAGGGCTAGAACTTCTTACTCCATTTCTTGTATAATGTCACAGGGAAAATTCCACCCAATAGGGTCAAAATCAGAAATGAACCCCTGAAAGACATTTTAACTCTTTCCTACTCAATCCAAAACTAAATAAATGGCTGCAATTAGACTTTAGTTAACTCAGAAATGTTTTAGATGCAGTGTGCTCTGAGTCTGTTTTAATTTTTGCTGCATTGAACAGTTGCCCATAATTTTATCAGCTCGTTCTAGCTTTACAGTGCAACTTGTTTAGGAGACTGTTGGGTTATAATGGAGGCCAAACAACCAGAATAAAGACATGGTTTGGTACAAAAACCCTAATGGATACAATAAAAAAAATTTATTGTCGAAAATATATTGTGATAGTATCAACAAATTATCTACTAGAACATGAACCAGTTGGTCTTTTCCAAATTTCAAACCTTGCAGTCTATTGAGAGTAATTGCTGCACAGACCCAAGTTCGTAACAATGTTGTTACATGACTTTGGGAATATATGTGCTCTGCAAAACTCTGTGGCATTGAATCAGAGGGTGCTGTCAATGAACCTCTATGGATAGAGAAAGAGGCGATATAGAAGTGCTAATATCACTAGAAGGTTTTGTCTCCATTACTCCTCTTTGCTGCGATGGCACCAGAAGTGGCAGAATTTCTGCCATATTTTTTTTTTGCTGTGCTCCTTCCACTATAGCTAATTGGAACTCTCACTCAGACTGAAGTTTAGTGGCACACATATATGAAGAATTTTAGGTGAAGACAAATAATTAATGAATTACCTTACATAATTTATAATTACCATAATAACCAATTTTTACCAAAGTATTTTCTAGAATATGTGCCACTTGCTTATAAGAAATATTACAGGTTGATTTTTGTATTTTACTTAGGATATGGTCAAGCTTTTTACTTTGTCATACTACTATACAATATCTGACCTATTGGATCTGCTTTTTGTCTGACACTGCCATCCTGTCATGATATGTTGAGATAATCAACAGAATTTTGGTAACTGGACAGTCTGCAGGATATGTGTGTCCTGAAATGTTGAAGTAAAGAAATATTAATGATCATGGGGGGGTCTATATACAGTATAAGCAATGTACTTATTATAATGAGAGTATATAAAGCTTCCCTGTTATTTAGCAGAGCAAAGGGTAAAACAAAAAACGTAAAAGTTAGTTTTTATGTAATAACTGCCTTAAAATTATTTCTGTATTCCAAATCGACTTGCTAATGCTCTTGCAGCTTGTATGTACTGTATATAAAATGATCTCACTTACCTATATATATATATATATATGTCCAGTTTCTGCAGGTCATTGAAGGCAGCGGTGGAAGTGATGTGGGTTTCCGCTGTGCCCCATGTGACAGCACTATTGGGTCTCGTTTAGGGATGATGTCCCATCTACGTACAGCAATTCATCACCAAAATATTACACAATGGAGGCTTGCACATGGAGAAGCTATACTCGAAAGAATTGTAACTGTGTGCAGGAGTCAGCAAGAACATGGTAAGATCCAGATATGTGTCTTACAGTGTTATCTATCCACTAAAGGTGGTTCCACCTTGACCAATATTTTACCAACATTTTCTATGTACACTATATTGCCAAAGTGTTCCCTTCCAAATCATTGAATTCAGATGTTCCAATCATCTCCATGACCACAGGTGTATAAAATCAAGCACCTAGGTATGCAGACTGCATTTACAAACATTTATGAAAGAATGGGTCGCTCACAGGTTGCCACCTGCGCAATAAGTCCAGCTGTGAAATCTCCTTGCTATTAAATATTTCACAGTCAACTGATAGTGGTATTATAACAAAGTGGAAGCTAGTGGGAACAATAGCAACTCAGCCATGAAGTGGTAGGCCATGTAAAATTACAAATTGGAGTCAGCGCATGCTGCAGTGTGCACAGAAGTCACCAACTGTCTGCAAAGTCAATAGCTAAAGACCTCCAAACTTCATGTGGCCCTCAGATTGGCCTTCAGATTAGCACAGCAGTGCGTAGAGAGCTTCATGGACTGGGTTACCATAGCCGAGCAGCTGCATCCAAGCCTTACATCACCAAGTGCAATGCAAAGCATCAGTTGCAGTGGTGTAAAGCATGTTGCTACTGAACACTAGAGCAGTAGAGACGTGTTTTCTGGAGTGACGAATCACGTTTCTTTGTCTGGCAATCTGATGGACGTGTCTGGGTTTGATGGTTGCCAGAAAAACGGTACTTGCCTGACTGCATTGCTCCAAGTGTAAAGTTGGTGGAGGAGGAATTATATTGTGGGGTTGTTTTTCAGGGGTTAGGGTTGGGCTTGGCCCCTTAATTTCAGTGAAGGGAACTCTTAAGGCATCAGCATACCAAGACATTTTGGACAATTACATGCTCCCAACTTTGTGGGAACAGTTTGAAGATAGCCCCTTCCTGTTCCAATGTGACTGGGCACCAGTACACAAAGCAAGATCCATAAAGACATGGATGAGCGAGTTTGGGGTGGAGGAACTTGATTGGCCTGCACAGAGTCCTGACCTCAACCCGATGGAACACCTTTGGGATGAATTAGAGCGGAGACTGCAAGCTGGGCCTTCTCGTCTGACATCAGTGCCAGACCTCACAAATGCGCTTCTGGAAGAATGGTCAAACATTCCCATAGACACACTCCTGAACCTTGTGGACAACCTTCCCAGAAGAGTTGAAGCTGTTATAGCTGCAAAGGGTGGGCCAACTCAATATTGAACCCTATGGACTAAGACTGGGATGCCATTAAAGTTCATGTGCATGTAAAGGGAGGTGTCCCAATATTTTTGGCAATATAGTGTATCTTTGGGTTCATTTAATAACAGAAATTCATTTGTTTTGCATTTATGACTAACTTGATTTTGACATTCTTACTTGGGTAAATGGTATATACACTGTGGGAACATTTACTAAATCTGGTGAACTCAGGATCTGGTGTAGCTGTGCATGGCAGCCAATCAGCTTCTAACTTCAGCTTGTTAAGCTTTGGCAATAAAACCTGGAAGCCGATTGGTTTCCATGCAGAGCTGCACCAGATTTTGAACCATGCAGTTTTAGTAAATAAACCCCTATATGACCTAAAAAATGTGAAAACTGGATCATCACACCTTTATGAGCATTCAATTCCAAAACCATTAAAAGCACTAATACTAAGTTCATATCTACCTTTGTGCCTGCAAAAGCTTCCACTCGGGAAATCAAGCTCTGCCCCATTATACCATTTAGAAAAATTAGTTTTGGGCTGCTTTTTATTTAGCACTTACCATTTCACTAATGATGGTAAATACAGTGACTTGCAAGGCACTCATGAGTTGATTCTTGGCAGACATTCAGTCCTGCCTCTATTTTGGCTTAAGCTGGGTATACACTAGTAGAATTTCAAAGGTGATTCATACAAAAATTCTTAGGAAACTTTATATGAAAATTCTCAGAACATTCAAATGTCATTCGAAAGCAGTTCAAGATTTCCTTTGCTTTTAACATTTTATTTTGGAATAAATAGATTTTACCAAACAAAAACCACTTGCACAGGTAAAAATTTGTACATTTGCAAAAAAAAAAATGTCTATTCTGCGTCTTCAAATTTCCTCATCGTTGTGGTAGAAAATGAACTTCAATTTGACCCCACTAATGATTAGAAAAACAAACAAACGCTCTTACAATGTTCAACAACTAAAAATGTTGAAAAGAACTTCTGCTAGTGTATACCCAGCTTTAGTTTTCTAACAGCATGACTTATTTATGTAATTGAATTAAATGTTGTCTAATTTAACCCTTTTTTCCCCCAGTATTCACCTTCTTCGTGTCTAGCACACAGCTACACTTGTCTCTGAAATGCTGAATTTTTGCTGAGATCTCAGTATCTTTGAGTTATATACTTATATATAGTACCAGTGTCACTTTTTAAATAACAGTTAAAACATTACATGGAAGTGATAGGCCAAGTTGTAGCATCTGATTTCATTGTTTCGTGGCATATACAAGCATGTGAGCAAAGTGGATTGTCACGTAAGGGTTACTGGAAAGGGTAGAGAAGCAAGGAACATCTGTTGTTAGGGTACCACAGGAATACAGATGAGTGGGGTGTATCTTCAAATAGATTAATAATAATAAGTTATGATGAAAAAAGTAACTATATTTATGTCCATTTTCCAGTTCTTTTTATATTATCTTGTGTCTTTCACGCACTCTGTATTCCTTTCCCCCCATTCTGCCCCTCCTTTTCTCCTGGCTCTTGGCCCATCTCCGGATCAATATTTTATGATTTTGGCGGCCGTTGAATGGTGTTAAAGAACTTTAACACTTTAATTAGCTGAAACAGGAATAAATTCCCCACAACTGTCAATTTTCAGTATAATCGTTTATCTAGTGACACTGTGCCTGTCCTCTCATTTCTCTCTGCCTGCCTCTCTTTCTCGTGCTGCTTAATTTCACTGCAATCTCAATACACCCAGGTCCTGTCTTTATTATTTCCAGTCTCTTAACATTTTTGTTGATAATGAATTCAGCCTTACCGTGATGATCATGAGCTGCACAATAGTAAAGTATAAATGTATTATGTACATCTCTACTATACAGTATATTGCATTTTTGTATGCATTTATATAGGTAAAATTGTTAATTGTCCATGCCATATAAGAACCTTTATGCCTTACAAGACCCTTCAGTGTCATGTTTATTATTTTTCCTTGACTAAGCCATATAATATAAGTCATTTATTAAAGTGAAAAAAAACATGGTCTGCATAGTTATAAATATGTGTCACCTCTTCTTTTGTGTCTGGAGTAGTGCATCTTACAATTTTTTAAATGTGATGGCTGCATTCGTTTCCTTTTTTAGGCTTTCTTTCTCCTATTTTCATCTAATGATCCAGCCAGTAAGTCTGTTGATTTTTAATATAAAAGTTCTCTTGCAGTTACAGGGATGAGAAAGACCATTTAACACTGACTGGGGTGCTTAAAATGATTAACTTTCATTTATTCATGTAAAACCTTAATCCCAAAAGAAACAAAATTATTTTGCTGTAACTGATTGTACAAATTATATAGTATTAGTGGGAGTTCAGCTTCAATTTGTTAGTGTATTTAAATCTGATAGTACTTCTAATGCTCCCTCCTGACTGACAATGCTGCTATCCAAATCTGCCCCCTGTCCTCAGTCATCCAGAGTGGTGTCTGTATAGTTCATGAGGTGTGTCACCAGGGAAAAACAGAAGGAAAAAAAGCCTAAAAAAAGAAAATGAATACAGCCACCACATCTAATGATTGGTAAGCTGCAATTTATATTTCATTTTTGGTTTTGGGTTCAATACTGATTTCTGCATAAGTAACATATGAACTTGCCTCTAAACCAGCAAAAGGTAGGAATGCTAGTTCATACTCATGCTGTAATATACTGAGTGCCATGTACTGGAGAAGGAAGGAAGCATTTCCTGGTCCTCTGGCTGTGATTACGAATTGTCTTGCTGATTGAACCACAATTAATGCACTCACTAATGGAAATTCTCACTTCTTACTATTTATTAAACAGATGGAAATCAGTTTACTGTCATGCAGGAGTGGATTTTCATGACTTGGCTCACCTTATTTACACAAACCATTTCCCTACTTTACTGGTCCTCACAGTATTGTGACAGTATGAAATGACTATATTTGTAGTTACCAAGGGAAGCATTATGTTGCCTATGAAATAAAGGAAAAGGCTGTCTATTTACCTCTGTCACGGGCCTACCTTGTGTATGAGCCGTGTCACATCAGCGATTCTGTTGCAGGTGAATTGTGGCTATAGAGATAATAATCATCTGCTTCCATGTGTCACTCCCTTGCTGGCCAAATGAGTGCGGCATTGTTCCCTCGCTGTTGGAAACACTGCAAAATGTAAGCTTCCAGTAAAGGAGCAACACATGGAATCAGGTGTATATTTCCCTATCCTTTCACTGTATAGCAATACTGTCACTGGTGAATTGTCAGCAGCAACAGGATCGCTAGTGTGACATGGCCCTAAAAGTAAATCCAGCCCTGCTGGCATGTGAAATTAGGATATGCACTGTATAGTCAGAACACCTGGAAATGGTTTGCTGGCTGTCACGGTATGAGTATGTAAGGTTTCATGTTCTCCCATTTTAAGGATTCTTTTTGCTGACTGGCTCCTGTTTGAGCATGAAGATAATTTCTTTACAAAATATTTTTTACACATGTCAATATGTGTTCACTTGTATATTACAAAGTATGAAAATGTTATACTTGTAATTTCAGTTAAAATCCCAAACACTCCCGAGATCACATCAGCGTCAGATACAGGAGAAGACAACACAGACATACCTCAAGGTGAGATAGGGTATAACTAAGGGTCTTGGAACCAAAATATAGATGTAAATGTTTTTAAACACTCAACCTATCAAACACACTGCCCACACTGAAGATGCCGGCCTCCTGGAATACAGGGCGGCCAGTGAAACGAGCTGCGGGGGGACACACCACGGGACCGAGGGACAGGTAAGTGGCTGTTTTTAAACGCTCAACCTATCAAAAAATAAATGTCAGCAGCTACAAAAACTGTATCTGCTGTCTTTTAAAAAACAGCCACTTACCTGTCCCTCTGTCCCGTGGTGTGTTCCCCGCAGCTCGTTTCACCGGCCATCCTGTATTCCAGGAGGCCGGCATCTTCAGTGTGGGCACCCGGCTGTGATAGCTTGCGGCTTCACAGCCGGTTATCCACTGTGCATGTGCAAGTAGCGCTGCACTTCATGAATGGTCCTGTAGTCTTCTGGGTCCTGTCACATGTCCTAGAAGACTTCGGGGAGGGAGGAAACCTTCCGCTTCCAATCGCCTAGGCGATCGGACCGGAAGTGGGAGCAGGTACCTGTCAAATTCGGGTACCCGCTCCCCAAAGGTGCCAATCCTTAATGAGGAGCGGGGGAGCAGTCCTTAAAGCGGAACTTCCCCTAAAGTGGAGCTCCATTTTAAGTGCTTCAGCGTTTAGATACACTATGGAGTTGATTTACTAAAACTGGAGAGTGCAAATCTGGTGCAGCTGTGCATGGTAGCCAATCATCTTCTAACTTCAGATTGTTCAATTAGGCTTTGACAGAAAACCTTGAAGCTGATTGGTTTCTATGCAGAGGTGCACCAGATTTTGCACTCTCAAGTTTTAGTTTATCATCCCCTATGTTTGCCTTTTAATTACACTGCTATAAAATTATTATATATTTTGCCAGGAAGCAGTACCATCGTCTATTTGTATTTTGTATATGTTCTCTTTATAAGGCGGTGAAAGAAATTTTTAGAAATGCCTTTCATTGCACTAGTGAGATATGAACACTCCGCATTAGGCTTTAAAGACAACTTTTAGCGTAAGGTAGGATCATAACCCCTGTCAGTCTTATTTTGCAAGCTATGTGCCATTGGACAGATTTCCCTTTACTTCCTGTCCCATAGCCAAAACAGGTGAGAGAAAACCTCTCCAGGTCACCAGAACTAGTGTCCACCTGAAAGATGTCCCCTCTATTACTTTTCTGGGGACAACCCAAAATGTAGGATTTACTTTTACTTTCACTTTCAATAATGCTAAACATGACAAATAGGGTGAATCTCCCTAACGGGAGCTCAGACAGCAGTGATATCTGACAGGCAGGGGCGGACTGACCATTTGGAAACTCGGGCACTGCCCGAGGGCTCGGGGTCAGTAGGGGGCCCCATGAGATGCCCCTGGTACCTTTTTCATAGGCTTTTTTGAGTTTGGGCAAGGACACAGGGGCCCCATGATCCCCTATTGCCCGGGGCCCCATGAGTTGTCAGTCCGCCCCTGCTGACAGGTGTTCTAATCCATCAGTACTCTACCCAAAACTAAAAAAAAAAAAAGCTAAAAGGATTTGCCTTTAGTTATACTTTAAGCTCTTCAAATTAAATAAGTTTTTTATTATAGGGACAAACATACAGATTGTGATACAAATATTTTGTGATACCTCTTATTACAGAAGGGATCTAAGGGGTCCCTAAAGATTTTGCATCTTTAATAACTTAAGTTAATACATAAATGGTATCACTAAAGCTGGGCATAGAGGGTTCGTTTTTTTGGTTCAGCCTGATGGCTGAAGCAAAAAAAACCGAACAGATTCTTACATCCACACAAGCACGGTGGATTGAAGAATCGCAAACCCCACCCCCTGCCAGGACATTGTATTCTGATAGAGGCTCCCGATTGGCTGCAGTCAATGATCAAAAATTTTTACTTTTGTGTCTGTTCAACAGAAGTCAATCTAACAAGCTTCTGTCGAACAAGGAGGGCCACACAGAAATCGAAATTCGTCTGGTCCCTACCGTACTGTTAACATTTCAGTTCTTCTATGCCCATCTTTAGGCTACAAACTTTCTGCATTGATTGATGACCAATACCGTACAAGATTCTACTACTGCTATTAGATCATTAGCATTTTTGATTTATAAATCTTTTAAAGGTGGTATTTGGTAAAAGTAAACCTTTCAGAGGCATTTCTGACCACTCTGTATATTAACACGAATGGCTCTGTGGCAACCCCCAGCATTTCCTAGGACTGGTTGCTAAACTGTTATATTTAATCTGCAGGTGAATTTGATGATGTGTTTATGTTCATTCAGATACTGTATAATGTAACTCTAAGACCACAGGATCTAAGATGTTGTCTCTAAGGGATAAAAATCTTTGGAACACGGGGTCTACTGATGCTATTCATTGTTACTATATTACGAACCCAGAATTGTCTTTGATGCTTTCATTTTTGAACTTGCCAACTGAGCTATTGTATGCCTCCATTGAGCACTTAACCCTGCAGTTGTTACGCTATCAGGCTTTTTTACTAAGACATTGGGAAGGGCAATGAATATGTGCAGAATGTAGATAGACTTTGAAAAAATTCAGAAAACCAAACATATTTCACTAATTTCTCAATAGTTACAGCGTAGTTACTAATTAGCTAGCTGTTTTTGCACTATGAACATCTTCATTGCTTTTTAAACCTTTTTGTTTAATATGGCTTTATGTGTACTTGTGTGCTTGTTTTTTGCGTTCCTCTTTGCTTTTTTTATTTGATTTAATCTTTCCTTACTCTGTGATAGAATATGGATCTTCCCACTCCAACTAGTCACATACACCTTTTGTTCTACTGGAGAGCCCTTCTACTTGTATTTGTAGAGAATGACCAGTTACCTTGCTTATTAGTTATTTGTCCCCTTCTGACCCCTAATCTCCTGATTTAGCCCCTGTACAGGATGAAACATCGAAGACTGAATGTGAAAAGACTGTCGAAGGCACTACGGTACGTTCTGTCTATAAGAAGGTGATAACAATGGATCGCAGCATAGGGATAAACCAGGCAGGGGGGTAACCAGGTTCATTTCACCAGCTTTGCTTTCAGTTACAAACTATAAGTTGTCCCATTCTGTTCAGATATGGGCAGTGACCTTTTGTATATTTTGGTAGCTCTCTGACACTCGTGATAATCCTAATTCTCCCTTAGCTAGTGTGCCAGCGGTTAGCAACAAATAAGCATCCAGTGAAGTCAGTACTCTCAACTTGCATATTTGTTATGGGTCAGCCACTAAGTGGAAAAACTAAGAATGAGAATGGCAGCCAGGTAACTATCAAAATTGTGTCAGCGGGGAATCCACCCTTATTTTTGACTTTGCTAATAAAATCAGCGAGGCACGAGAAACTTATGGCCTCATGCATCTATGCTCTGAGTTGTGTCTAGTGAATTAAGTAAATGTTTATTACACAAGTCTGATTTTACTATGTAAAGGCAACAGATAAATCTTTTATGAAAAAAATAAGTATACAATATGTTACTTATTTGCACCCATATGCAGAATGTCAGATGGTTTTGACCTATTACCATTTCATTATGTGTATAAACTGAACTATTTATAAAATTGTATGATTGGAAGGATTAAAGTTAGTGGCACACATAATACGATTGTACCCTCTCTGTATAATTTCCTTTAGCGTAACCCAAAACTATGTATTGCATGAGAGCTATTTGAACAATCTACCGTATTTTCCGGCGTATAAGGTGACTGGGTGTATCAGACGACCCCCTAATTTTCCAGTTAAAACATAGGTTTTTGGCTATACTCGCCGTATAAGACTACCCCCCTTCCGAGGCAACACCATTTAAAAACATCAGATTTTTTAATTAAAATCATTGTGACTTACCGGTACTTAAAATCCTTCAAAATCCGTGATTGACCCAGTGTATACTGTATGTAACCGCAGCTACCGTACATACACGCATCCAGTGGGCTGATTACAGTAGGGACGTACCGGTACGTTTTGAAACCGCTTGGGTCACCGCACATCCAGCGGGCTGACAGATTAATCTGTCATAGGGACATTTGTTTTGAGCCAGCTTGGCTCAGCACGGTATACTATATTTACAGTATTACCACACATCCAGCCAGCTTGACCCAAACAAACTCAAAGTTCACATTTTATACCCCGCATATAAGACGACCCCCAATTTTTGGGGTATATTTTTAAGTATAAAAAGTAGTCTTATACGCCAGAAAATACTGTAATTATATTCTAACAATCTAGCTCATCATTCTACGGAAATCTAAATATTATCTACAATTAGATTGTAACATGGGTAGCCAGATTATAAGCTGTATCTCTTAGTTTTTGGAACAATAATCTTTACTCCAGACCATTAAAAAAAACAGTGCATATTAAAGCCCAACTCCAGGCTATTTTATGATTTTAGAAAAAGATCTTGCTGTGGTGTTTAAATAAAAAATGCCATTTCAGCTGCGATACCCACCTCCTCTTTGGCGTTGTCCATTACAGTACCACTCTAGCTGCCAAAGATATCTGGAAAAGGTAAGTATAAAAAATATAAAGGTTCAACTACTGCTTCAGAGAACCTGCAGGGGGAAGGGGCTAATGTTGACGGGATGGACAATGGAGCCCGGAGTTGGGCTTTAAAGTGTAACTCCAGGCAAACAGCTAAACACGCTGTTCAAATACATATATCTATATATATATATTACTGATACACACACCTGTGGTAGTCTGTAAGTGCACTGTTTCCTAGCTAAGCTTTACGACTTCCAGGGTCAACATTGTTGCTTTCCAGAGGTGATGATGCTGATTTATTGTCCAATGAGGATGTGCAAAGGTGACATAAGAAGCCACAAAGCTCAACCAGGAAGATGAATTGCCAAATCAGAAAGTAGGCTGTGTGGCTATACAGAGTAGAAAGTGTGTAAATAACAAATCAAATGCTTGGGCAGGTAAAACAGTAAACCTACAACGGGGCAAAAAAGTATTTAGTCAGCCACCAATTGTGCAGGTTCTCCCACTTAAAAGGATGAGACAGGCCTGTAATTGGCATCATAGGTAGACCTCAACTATGAGAGACAAAATGAGAAAAAAAATCCAGGCAATCACATTGGCTGATTTGGAAAGAATTTATTTGCAAATTATGGTGGAAAATAAGTATTTGGTCACCTACAAACAAGCAAGATTTCTCGCTCTCACAGACCTGTACCTTCTTCTTTAAGAGGCTCCTCTCTCCTGCACTCATTACCTGTATCAATGGCACCTGTTTGAACTTGTTATCAGTATAAAAGACACCTGTCCACAACCTCAAACAGTCACACTCCAAACTTCACTATGGTGAAGACCAAAGAGCTGTCGAAGGACACCAGAAACAAAATTGTAGACCTGCACCAGGCTGGGAAGACTGAATCTGCAATAGGCAAGCAGCTTGGTGTGAACAAATCAACTGTGGGAGCAATAATTAGAAAATGGAAGACATACAAGACCACTGATAATCTCCCTCGATCTGGGGCTCCACACAAGATCTCACCCCATGGGGTCAAAATGATCACAAGAACGGTGAGCAAAAATCCCAAGACCACACGGGGGGGCCTAGTGAATGACCTGCAGAGAGCTGGGACCAACATAACAAAGGCTACCATCAATAACACACTATGCCGCCAGGGACTCAGATCCTGCAGTGCCAGACGTGTCCCCCTGCTTAAGCCAATACATGTCCGGGCCCATCTGAAGTTTGCTAGAGAGCATTTGGATGATCCAGAAGAGGATTGGGAGAATGTCATATGGTCAGATGAAACCAAAATAGAACTGTTTGGTAGAAACACAACTTGTCGTGTTTGGAGGAGAGAGAATGCTGAGTTGCATCCAAAGAACACCATACCTACTGTGAAGCATGGGGGTGGCAACATCATGCTTTGGGTCTGTTTCTCCGCAAAGGGACCAGGAAGACTGATCCATGTACAGGACAGAATGAATGGGGCCATGTATCGTGAGATTCTGAGTGCAAACCTCCTTCCATCAGCAAGGGCATTGAAGATGAAACGTGGCTGGGTCTTCCAACATGACAATGATCCCAATCATACCGCCCGGGCAATGAAGGAGTGGCTTCGTAAGAAGCATTTTAAGGTCCTGGAGTGGCCTAGCCAGTCTCCAGATCTCAACCCCATAGAAAACCTTTGGAGGGAGTTGAAAGTCCGTGTTGCCCAGCGACAGCCCCAAAACATTACTGCTCTAGAGGAGATCTGCATGGAGGAATGGGCCAACATACCAGCAACAGTGTGTGCCAACCTTGTGAAGACTTACAGGAAACGTTTGACCTCTGTCATTGCCAACAAAGTATTGAGATGAACTTTTGATATTGACCAAATACTTATTTTCCACCATAATTTGCAAACAAATTCTTTCCAAATCAGCCAATGTGATTGTCTGGATTTTTTTTTTTCTCATTTTGTCTCTCATAGTTGAGGTCTACCTATGATGCCAATTACAGACCTCTCTCATCTTTTTAAGTGGGAGAACTTGCACAATTGGTGGCTGACTAAATACTTTTTTGCCCCACTCTAAATGTATTTCTTCAGTGTATTTAGCCATTTGTCTGTAGATGTTTTGCTGTAAAAATCGATGTCACCATAATCTGGTCACATATACTGCGCAAACCTTTTTTCTTTTCGGCTCAACCTCACTTATGCTTATCAGACAAAGTTTTCCCAGAAACTGTATATGCCAACATAACCTTTGATACTGTACCTTGCGACGCCTCAAATAAATTGGCAACTTCAGTCACAGAAGCACTAGCTAAGCGGCACCAACAATTTACTCTCTTTGAAGCTCAGCAAACTCTGACATGACTCCGTATTATTAGCAGCACACGCAGTGAATGACGAAATTGAGGCTTCTCCCCTGTTATCTAGGTGTCTCATCACACAGCAGAAGCAAAAGAATGTTACATCACTTCCGCTTTCAACGGGATGAACAGATTTCTAATAATGTATGTGGTTTTTGAACAGAAAATTACATCCATTCCAAAATACAAATGTTAAAAGAAACAAAATTTTGAAGTACTTTTGAACATTTGTCAAGTAATCAATGTACAGAGAATTTTTGTACGGATGTTCACATAAACATTTTTACAAATGCTCGTTTGGAAATCTACCAGTGTATGTCCAGATTAGGAAAATTAAGTAGATTTTATTGGCATCGGCATAGTTGCATTGTTTTCTGTGTAGGATAGCTTTTCACTAACTAGTTTCACCTGTTGCCATTGTTTCTGGCCTGAAAAATGACCAATGTAGAATGGAAATAAGGGTCTGCTGCTATCAAACAATGCAAACAGTTCCTATTTCAGACACTTTATAAAATGAGGAAAATTAGGCTGCTTTCACACTGATTTGTTTTTCTTTAGCTTTTGCATTAAAAAAAGCAGAGGAAAAATTTGTGACCATCTATTCCCATGGAACTGTTCACACTGATCCATTGCGGGTCCGGTACATTTTTCAGAGTCCTGAAATCAATGGAAAATGCTACAAAAATGCATAAAAAATGCACCTGCATTGCTTTTTTGGTGTGGTTTTTGAGTCGCATGTCCTTGTTTTTGCCATGGGTAGCCTTACTGTTCACAGTTTTTGCTGACTGCAACAATGAATCATGTTGACCATTGCCCTATAACTAACCTAAACTTTGATGATGACAATATTTGGCTGACCCTTCCATTGAGGAAAAGAAGTCTGAACATTGCAAATTTTGTAATTTGGTAAACTCAAGGATTGTTTACCATGCTAATGTCCAAAATAGCAAGACATTTTCCCATATGTTCATAGTATCCTATATTCTATGAAACAGAAATTTTGTGATGAAAAAAAACAGTAGGAATTTTGTTCAGTTTGACATAATGCACAAGGATCTCCTGATATGTATATATCATGTACCTCTTTTTTGTGCTGTGTGCCCAAACAAAGGCAAGAGGACCACCATTTATCTGTGTGTTTAAGGAAGGTTGTTTCAAACAGTTTTGAACATGGCCTGAACACTGGACTTTGACAGCTTGAACTT